TAGGGTTAGTGTTAGTAAAGCCGTTGCTTTGTTACCGCGTTATGTCACTCTGAGGTCAGCGAAATAATCTCTTCCCCTATTAATGCGAAGCTTTCATAATAGTATTAATATACAGTCATATTAATTACAGTCATATTAAATAATAAATTATTACACGGAGGTTATCCAACCTAATTAAATACCCTACCCTCGACCTACAATAGGCAATAACAGGCGTGACTCAGTTGTAAGGGACAAAATGCTTGCCACATTTGTCACCCTTAATTCATAATAGATGGATAGATTTAGGATTAGCTTTGAAATCTATTTAATAAACAAAAAATATCACACACCAGTTTTTTTCACATCAGGATTTTTCATTAGGGTTATTCTTTGATTTTTGGTATTTCCTAGGTCAAAAAATAATGCATAGAACTTTATTCGCACTGGGTAGCTTTATCAGTTCTAAACTGTTCTTCCTAGAGGTCCAGTAAGAGTCATCTCTTATTGATCCAGTGTTACTACAGGGGGAAACCTAAACTAAACTAACTTTATTTACACCGGATAGCTCTATCAGTTCTAAACTGTTCTTCCTAGACGTCCAGTAAGGATCATCTCTTATTGATCCAGTGTTACTACAGGAGGAAACTTAAACTAAACTAACTTTATTTATACTGGATAGCACTATAAATTCTAAACTGTTCTCTGTTAATGTATAATGATACCATCTTGATACTGTACCTTTATTCTTTTTGAAAATATGTAGAATGATGAAAGCAACGACAGCCATTAGAAATGCTCCAACTGCCAGACCCCCAAAAAATGTAGGGTATTGAAAACTGTCGCCCAATTGGCTTTGTTCGGCATGTTGTGCTAGTTAGAAAGTAGTTAAATATAATTAGAACCGCAATTCGAATCTTGAATTCCTAATTATAAATACATCAGACATAATTAAACCAGAATTAGAACTTGTCCTCTCAAATAAATATAAGACTTCGTCCAACATAAATTCTTATGGTGGTTCTTCAGTGTGTATAAAAATTAGAAGCTATAATTTATATCTTACGCGGTTTTATTGTTGATGTGTTGCCTACAAAGTGGAAGACAAACAAATGGATTAGGAAAAACAATTAGAAACACAATTAAAACTTTGTTTTCATAACTAAAGAGATGCGTTGGATTGCCATGAACATTAGAATGAAGACGAACAATTAGAACCGCAATTAGAATCACAATTAGAACATTTTTCATTAGAAATAATTAGAAATATGAAATACCTCTAGTATAAACCGATTCTTTTGTTGTTTTTGTTGTTTTTGTTGTTTTTGTAGTAATGCCTAGAAAGTAGAAGACAAACAGATAGATTACAGATAGATCAAACAGATAGAACAATTAGAAACACAATTAGAATTTTTTTTCTAATACTAGAGAGAAAACAGTGCATATAGAAATATTTAAAGTTTTACCAGGTTCTCGAGTTGTAATGGCACTATCTGAAGAACAGAAGGAAAACAAATAATGAGAATCACAATTAGAACATTTCACATTAAAAGTCATTATAGGAATATGCAATACCTGTAATAAGAGTCGTACCCGGTTCTCCTGTTGTAGCGCTGGCTAGAAAGTAGAAGACAAACAAATAGGTTAGGAAAAACAATTAGAACTTTTCTTTCATGACAAGAGAGAATTCATATAGAGATATTTAAATTTTTATCCGTTTTTGGAGTTGGAACGGCAGTATCTGAATATTAGAATGAGAACGAATAATTAGAACCAAAATTAGAATATTTCTCTTCCAATTAGAAAGTAGATAACAAATTAGAATCACAATTAGAGCATTTCTCTACCAATTAGCAAGTAGAGAATCAAATAGAATCACAATTAGAATATTTGTCTTCCAATTAGAAAGTAGAGAATCCATTAGAATATATTACAACTAAAATTTTTGTTTCGTAATTAGAAAGATGACAAACAATCACAATTGTTGAACTTTGTTTTCCTACAATAAAAAGCAATGTAGATAACTATGGAGTAATATCAATTTTATATTTACTTGTTTTAGGCTCTGGATCGCCATGGCAGGGACAACGATTTAAATTGGTGTCGGTACAATTGGCTTTGGATTCTGTTGAAAAACACAAGTGAGGTTAGTTTCGCAACAGGCTTGTAGCAAGCTGGTCAACAAGTTTTATCAAGTTGCTACAAGGTTGTCACTCACAAATTGTTGAACTGCAGATAACAAGTTGTTGGAACGGCTTGAAGCAAGTCTGTTGAGCACAAAAACCTTGTAGCAAGTTGTCAACAAGCTGGGAACAAGCAGTGCGAACACATCCTGTTGACAAGTTGTTGGAACAGCATTGCTACAAGTCTGCTGCAGATTTGTTACAATTAACCAGTGCGTTTTTACGCGTGTAGAAAACACTGCAAACTTCTGGTTTATGATATTCCTGCGAATACAATATCTTTGACTCCTAGACATTTGAATTAAATCGTGTCTTTGAAAGAGGTTTATACATTGTTATACATACTTTGATAGTATGAAGCAATCTTTGCGACAAAATAGAGAAAAATTCACATGACTTATATATTAACATAAAGCGAGCCAAAGCAATTTTTCTTCGAACAACTTTTTCAACATTCAAATTACGAAGGCACAGTTGAATGCTTTGATATGTATAATTGCATGTTATGATTCTCTACTGCAATTTGATTTGGACGCGCAAATCAATAAGATTATTCTTACTTGGCATAAAACATTTGTCATAAGAGAAATCATATTCCATTCCTTTCGACGCAGTAACGTGTACTACAAAAGCCATCGCACATTCCTTGTCCTTGCTTTTTGAATCAGCTTCATCACCTGTGCGTTTATTGGCTACAATGTAAAGTTATTAAGCAACTAATTAGCATTAATGAATTAATTAAGGTCAATTAATGAATTCAATGTCAAAAAACGAACTAAATAATGCCAATAAACGAACTAATTAAGGTAATTTAAAGAGCTAATTGATGTCCATTAACGAACCAATTATTAAATCTGTGAATAATTAGTTCATTAATATAATTTTAGTCGACTTCAAGTGTTTGATATAAACTCGTGGAACAAACCAATTTTGTATTTGAATATATAGACGTTTTTTACAGTGGTATGATCGATACGGTATTTTAATCTTTCTGTCGCATACTGGTGACTTATTTAACTAGTTGTTTGTTAAAGGCGCAGTTCAGCCTTTTGAATGATGTTTTTAAGGCGCATTTCAGCCTTTTTAATTGAAAAAACTAACTGTAAACTCAATGTTTTTAACAATAAAAATGTTAAAAAATATTAAGTTTGCTGATCTTGAATTATGCGTAATTGATTTTCCTGGTTAATTTTTTCAATTAAAAGGGCTGAAATGCGCCTTAAAAACCATCACTCAAAAGGCTGAACTGTGCCTTTAACTTTATTAATACAATGTTTTTACCATGGGCATAGCAGAACTTACAAAATACAACGGCTATGTCTCCCTCGTAAAGTTTTTCATCGGAATGAATTCTCAGTTTATATGAGAATTCATATCCAGGTTCGCCCTCTTTTACGCAAGTGTGGAGTTTCCCTAAAATAGAGAGGAGATGGTGTGAAATTACTTGTGGTGATGATGGTGGTGTTGATGATGGTGTTTGTGATGATGATGTTTGTAGTGGTGATGATGGTGTTTGTGATGATGGTGTTTGCAGTGGTGATGATGGTGTTTGTGGTGATGGTGTTTGCAGTGGTGATGATAGTGTTTGTGATGATGATGTTTGCAGTGGTAATGATGGTGTTTGTGATGATGGTGTTTGTAGTGGTGATGATAGTGTTTGTGATGATGGTGTTTGTGATGATGGTGTTTGTGATGATGGTGTTTGTGATGATGGTGTTTGTGATGATGGTGTTTGTGATGATGGTGTTTGTGGTGATGGTGTTTGCAGTGGTGATGATAGTGTTTGTGATGATGATGTTTGCAGTGGTGATGATGGTGTTTGTGATGATGGTGTTTGTAGTGGTGATGATGGTGTTTGTGATGATGGTGTTTGCAGTGGTGATGATGGTGTTTGTGATGATGGTGTTTGTAGTGGTGATGAT